GGCCGGTCCTGGCGGGGCCTGGCGGGGTCCTGGGGGGGCCTGGCGGGGTCCTGGCGGGGTCCTGGGGGTCCTGGCGGGTCCTGGGGGGTCCTGGCGGGGGCCTGGGGGGACCTGGGGGGACCTGGCGGGGCCGTGGGAACCCAGGGCCGGAATTCTTCCAGTTCGAGGCCTCCCGCTGCTGTCCTTTTCTCGTTCACAAAGGCTTTCAAGCTGCACGTTCAAACCGTGGAGAGTCAAGCTAGTAATATCATAATAATAATAATAATGCGTATCAAGTCCACACTATGCGCCAGGCTCTCGGCCGTTTGCAATGGTTCTGCCCTTTAAACCTCACGACTCCACTTTGCAGCTGAAGGAGCTGAGGTTTCAGATGCTTGAGCCGCTTGCCCCAAGTCTCCACAAGCGGTGAGTGGCAGGGCCGCCATGGGCGCTGGGCCCGTCCTACTCAAAGCCCACACTGCCGAGTCTTCACTACTAAACCTTTACTCTCAGCAAACATGCCACAAGGTTTAAAGTCTCAGGGCCGTGTTTGTACCCTGGTCCCCAACCTCACAAACAGACAGCAGTCACTTAGCCAAGGACGGACCCCGGCCAGGGGCAGAATGCGGGCTTGGGAGCCACACAGGCCTTGGGTCCACCCTCAGGACACTTCCCAGGCTGGTTGAGATGATAAAAGATGATGTGTGTGCCAGCCAGCCCTGATGGCCTAGTGGTTAAAGTGCGGCACACTCTGCTTCGGAGGCCTGGGTTTAGTTCCCCGGGCTCGGAACCACACCACCCGTCTGTCAGTGGCTATGCTGAGATGGCATCCCACATAGAACTAGAAGGACTTACAACTCGGATATACAACCATGCGCTGGGGCTTTGGGGAGAAAAAAAAAAGAGAGGAAGATTGGCAACAGATGTTAGCTCAGAGTGAGTCTTTCCCAGCAAAAAAAAAAAATAATAATAATATAAAGAAATAAATTGGGACTAATGATCTTTAAGAAGAAAAAGATGACGTCTGTGAAGGAGTGTCCTCAGTCCTGGGGCTGCCCTCGCTTCTGCTCCCAGCAAACAGGGTTTCCCTGCTCTCTCCTCTCTGTCTGGCTCTGGGCCCCCCAACTTCTCCCTCAGCCCCCATTGTCCCTTTTCTGGTTTACATTTGCTCCCTGGTTTGATGAGCTGGAAGTGCGGTAAGCAGGAGTAACAAGCCGGGAAGACCACGCTCACATCTGCCACTTCTGACGGTCGGAGGGGCTGCTGGGCCATCCTGCTGGCCAGGCTCTGTGGCGGGGACTGGAGTCAGATGCAGGAGGGTCTGCAGCCTCAATTTTGCTCCACTGCCATTTCCTGGAATTCTACTCCTGCAGCGATGGCCTCTGTGAGGAGCTCACCTAGTCCTGGCCCCCCTGGGTTTTACTGTCCTTCCGCCTGCTCCATCAAGGCTCTGTTGAGCTGGACACTTGGCTGTTCCCTTTGTTATACTGAACACATGGGCAAGACAATAAGAATCTTCTTCATGGTGAATCAGAAAGAAAGAGTGGACGAGGAAGGGAGAGTGTAGAAGGTGAGACTCATTATGGGAAAGGAGATGTAAAATTTGGGGAATTTGTGGAATAAATTGAAACCAAAGAGCTAT